AGACATTTTTCAACTCCCCAAACATAACAATAACCAAGACTTCCATGGAAACACAGTATGAACTATGAAACATTTCCCTGTAATGCCATGAAGATGACATGACCGTCCACCACAAGGTAAGAAATCAAAACTTTGCAGACATCCAATGTCAGATTAACACAAAACACGCCATGCTCATACATGCTTCTTTGTTAAGCCGAATTCACTAATATTTTTCTTCCTAGCTCTGTAAAAACTAATAAAAAGCCTAGAAATTGTTTCTTTATTATTATTATTTATTGACGGCTTAATGGTTCCAAGTCCCTTGAATTTTGAAGAAAATTAATTCAGCTTCTGATTTTTTCATCTAATTAAACATTTGAATCTAGAAATTTAATCAATGTAGTTTTTTATTGACTTAAATTCTGGTTTAACATTATTAGTGTTGATTATTACAAGACTGACATTGTAATCTATACTACGGAAATGATGATTCATAATATGAATATGACGGTTATTAATGTTGGTGTGACACTCTACATGTTAATGATGATATGATAAAGATTTATCGAACTTTCTAAAAGCAATAATTAATTATCTTTGTCACATTATTATTTGCACGTGGACTAACGTATACTATAAGACCAACATTCCAACATCATAAATTGTTCCATTAATATCATAATAATCAGTGATTTTCAACGATCAAATAATTATATTAACTATTTTTTAAAATTTAAAAATATAATTAAATTCAGAAAAAAAATCAAACATTGAATTGATTTTTTATCAAAGTCTAAAAACGATCAAAACTTAATTTATTCAATGTTACAATAAGAAACTAGACCAAAATGCAAATCGGTAATAAGTTGAGAAATAAGAATCTAACCTTTAGAGATGAAGTGGGCAAAAGGGTTGGGAGCCAAATGGCGAACACATGGTGGACATGAGAGAAAAGAGCGTACAAGGAAAGCGTCAAAGAAGCTATATATTTAAAGCTGACGAAGCAGATTCCGCATGCATGAAATCAAGTGAAATCACCTAGAATTTAAACACCAATATGCTCCGGTTCCTTAAAACCACACCACGACAAATCCCACTCTTCATAATATACATTCAAGATTACTCTTCTTCGCACTTTTCAATGCTCTCCTCGTTTGCTCCGAGCATGTTCCACCTGCTTCATATATTCGGTATCTTTAATGACTGTTCATGTGTGGGAAATCCGTCGCTTAAACCAAACTCCATCAACACCGACAAAAATACGAATTGGACGTTACTATTACTATACGTTACTATATGTATAAGAGCCTGTTCATGTGAATTTTTTTTTTATTTTAAAAAAATCAAATTTGAAGGATTTCTGGGAAACAAGTACATCTTGGGACGGTGTGGTTCTAAAGGTGTAGATTATTTCACTTTACAAATAGTAACGGCAGATGGTATCTCTTTGAAGGTATGCGCAAAATCACTGATTGAGTTCGATTAAATCCTAGAGTTTGGCCAAGTTCAAATGATCGGAAAAATACTCGGTTTAAGTCAAATGATAAAAATTATAAGATTTAAATGGATATACTGAATTAACCAATTTGGATCCCAAAACCATACTCAAATACAGACAAAGAGGATAAATTGGAGTTGGGTTTTCCGGAGATTCTCCTGGTCCTGGGTAGCGCCACTCAAACTAATTAATTAATAAAAAAATATTTCATATTTTATTGAAAACTAAATGTTGGCTTCTGAAGATTTTTAACTTGTGTTTTATTTTCGTTATATTGCTAAATAATTAATATGAAGAAAGAAATCCCAGTGACTGATTTTCATTTATTATTTGATATATAAAAATTGGTTTTCTGTTTACTATTTTAAAGTTTTCATAAAGATGCAGCCAATTTGTGATGTCTCTGCTTTTATTTTAAATCAAATATATAAACAGCTTTAGTTAAAACAAAATCTACAACACGTAAATTATATCACAAATTCAATTTAAACATCATTAATCATTAAAGTAGCAGCTTCAGGTTATATTTTTTATATTTATTTATATTCAGATGCAAACGTAATAATATCAATCGTGGCTGTCATGCTGAAATAAATAATTTTTTACACCGAGAGAGATTTACCTAATAATCATCTTAGTAGGCCTTTTTTTTTATAAAGATCGTTGATAATTTGAAACCGGGTTTCTTTTCTTAATCCAGGCCTGGCCCAAGTTTCTTACATGGGCAAAAGGGTGGCATGACGTCTGTCGAACGTTTTCTTTATAACTATGGCTAGTAGAGGTTGCAAATGAATCATTCGGACCGGGGTCTGTTTGAGTCATTTCGGTTTAGACGACTTTTCTAATGCTAGGAAGAGAGTACAAAAAGGCTTGTTAATCCGTATGGGAATGTGGATGAAGATAAAGAATTCCTACCCTACCTATCAAAATCTGTATTTAAAGTAGGATAAGCCTTAGAAGTCTTCCAATTCCATCTTAAGATAAGAATTGTTGCAAGTGAAGTTGAATGCTTTTTGCTTGAAATTTTATACCTCAATAAATGTTGTTTTCGTGGGGTATTTCATGTCAATCTGCTTGTGTCTGCTAATTCTCCCTTCGCTTTTTTCGATTGAATAGGGGATGAGCATAAGAGCTCGCCCAAACTTCCCACATACAACAGCTCCACGGAGTTTTACGGGTCAGTCAACGAGCTTGAAGGTTCTTACTCGATGACCTTCGAGACGGGACATGAAGCTTTTTTGGCGAAAACCTTGCTTGATGGTAAGGAATAGGAATATGACATTATTTGATTCCATTCTCAGTTATCACCCTTGGGCCATTAAAGGTATGTTGGGCTTGCTTCTCATGAGATTGGGTGAGGAAATCGTAAAGGGGCTCATAAACCAGGTGGGCAAGCTTTTGGGCACGCGAAAAAGGGAAAGTGGATGGAGGGTGCTTCTCAGTTAAAGTTGGGGGCGGGGTCGCTATACTATGGTGGCTATGTTGATTCTTCCTACACAGTTGGACGCCCGACTCTAGACAAAGCCGCAGGGGTTACCACCACATCATCTCCTGATAGACTCGAAGCTCTTCATAGTCTGGCGAATAGCAAATTTTCTCTCAAAAAGAGACAGACCAGAGATAACAAAGGAAGGTATTCGGTTAAAAAAATATACATCAGTCAAAACAATTTCAACCAAAAATTGATTAGGGACAGAAGAATAGAGCAAAAGAGAGGGAGTTGTCTCCAATATATGGTGATGCTTTAGAATTGGATGCGCGAGCTTTAGTAGAATCGGCACGACTTTAAAATCAGAAGTGAAATCCTTAATCTTTCTTTGGTTGTGATCTTCCAAGAAGATATAATTATCTTAAGCATACACTCTTTGATGGAGATAAGAAAAAATACGAGATTATCTATTTCTTGGGGATTATAACCCTTTATATAATTGATTTAAGAATCAATTATTGTTTGTACTTATAACTCTGCCCCTCATAAAATTATAAATACAACTTTAATAGTATCTACACTTTTATTTTCATGACACTTCTAATACATTGTGACTTGTAATATTATTGGTCATTTAATTTATGTCTTTCGCAACTGATTTTTGGTGAAAAATCGATCCGACATTTATAAAAAAATAAAATGGTTTTTATGAAAAATTAGGAGAGACCAATCATTTTTAAGGTGCGATTAGAACACCTAAAATCATGTAATTTTAATAAAACAATTTACTTTATAAAAAATACAAGTTTTGGTCTGCGTCGAGAGTCAGTTACGCGTGGGAAAGGGTTAACACACCACAACTTCCAAAAAATTGGTATCTAGTCGATTACCCTATATTTAAAAATGAAAATTTTGAGTTCGAGATTTTATTTAATTTAAAATTCATTATGTATTCAAATTTTGAAGATAACATCAATTTACCAAGACCAATAACGATCACCCTCGGGCATTTATGCAAAAGCTTCGTTATTGATCTCAATAAACAAATATTGACTTGATGATTTAGAAATCATGAATTTACTCTAAATTAAGCAACCTACATTTAAAAGAAAATAAACATATCAAATAAAAAGCTAATTTAATTTATATGTATAAATTACTTGCTCTGGTTATTAATCCTAATTAAATAAAAAAAATCCAAACCTACATTTATTCTAAGAAACTAAGAATTTACTCTAAATCAAGAAACCTACATTTAAAAGGAAATAAACATATAAAATAAAAAGCCAATTCAATTTATTTGTATACATTACAAGACATATATATACACACACTAAGTATACTTAACACTCATATTAGGAGAATATATATCATATTTAATACAAAATATTAATGTAAAAGTTAACAGACATTGAAAAGGCATAAACGCACTTACTACGTATATGTATTTATAATATGGTATTAACCACATTACATATGGGTAATAATTATGACATAACATTTAACTATATATATATATAATTAACTACATTTCATGCATAGGCCACGCATGCATATATGTAAATATATATGTAGAAAATCATCAATTAAAGTTAGAAGGCACGATTAACTAAGGAAGAAACACATGGGGATCAAAATAAACATGTAGAAAAATGAAAAGTTAGAAATAGAAAGAAAAAAAGTTGATTTAGTGATTAAAGTGTAAATTTATGCTAAAAGTTGGAGGGACCCTACTGCAGTTTCTACTTTTAACTCAACGTATAAAAAAGAAACAAAAGTAAAGGAATGAGGATGCTAAATCTGAAATAAATCAAACGGAAGGAAATTTGGGGGTCGGCTTTATAAAAACACGCTAGAAGTTGAATGACTTAAACGTGGTTTTACCCTAACTACGGCTATAAAACATAATTTTTTGTTTAAACTCGTTTTAAACCCTAAACTAAAAAAAACACTAATATTCTCTCAATTCTCTCCTTCTTCCTTTGTCAGCCCGATAAACCAAAAGCCATAAGCCTCTCGCCGCCACCATATATCAGTGGCCATAAGCCATATATTCTCTCAATTCTCTCCTTTTTCCATCCAATCGTTTCGTTTCTCAACCATATATCTTTCTATTACAACAGATGAGAAAATAGATAATTATCAAAACATAAACAATGCATACTTGTCGTGTAAAAACCCTCATCACTGGATGACGCAACAAAGGTAGAACATAAAAATAAAACATTATTACGCTTTGTGAAATAAAAATATTTCCCTCCGATTTTGCTATTTGTGAAAGTTTTCTGTAACATAAAACCAATTAATACTCACGAAGAACAAGATAGCATACACACACCAGGCCGATAAGCCCATGCTGGCGGCAAACGAGCATATTTTTCCATTCCCGGTTGCTCATCATAAGGCCGCTCCATTACTTTAAGCAGCCTTCGGACCTCTCCAAAATCACCAAGTTCGGCTGCATCAATCGCACTCTGGCATAGGTAGTTCCTCAGAACATATTTAGGGTTCACCGAGTCCATTGAAGTTTTCCTCTCCTCATCTGAGATGCCACTGGAAACAAGCTGAATAAAGAAAGACGTTTTCTAAGATTTCAGCAGTTGATACACATTAGTGATATTAGTGACCAAATACCTATTGTACCTCCTTTATGTAGAATTGCACCCAACTGCCCCATGCCTCCTTACGTTCCTTGCCGATATCTAGCAGAACAGCCTTTAGTGGAACCAACAACTGATCTTCTGGAATGTCAGGATCTGCTTTGATTTTGGAAAGTGAACGAAAGAAGTTCGTGTAATCCACTTTATCAACAGCCAGATTATTAAGAAGTTTAGTGACAAGTTGTTTACTGTACTTTTGGAGACCAAGCTTTCGGCTCATTATAGCTTGATATTCATCCATAAATTTCGTCCCATACCTGCAGCAAAACAATGTAATAAAGATCTATCATGGAATAGCTTACTATTACAGTGGAAAGATAACTTGAATAGGACATACCTTTCCATGGCGTAATTAGCTTCTTTATCACTAATCAGGCGTGCAGCCATCAAACTGGAGGCAAATTGTGTAATATTCCACAAGCAAATATCAGGCTGATTTCCAAAACAGTATCTTCTCCCAGGAAGATCTGTAGTATTTGGTGTGTAACTTGGATCAAAAGCATCTAAAAATCCGAAAGGACCATAATCAATGGTGAGACCTAAAATGCTCATGTTGTCAGTGTTTAGCACACCATGAGTAAAGCCAACTCCCTGCCATCTAGCAACCAAAGAAGCAGTGCGCTCAGCAATCTCCACTATCCATGCTGGATATGAACAAGAAACAAGTGAAAACTAGGAACGATTACAACAAAATCATGAAATTTACTAGCTTATGGACAAACACGTTCAGCGAATAAGGCATACACAAGAAAACTACTATCTGATTCACAATAATAATAGCAACTAATTAATTCAAATTCTTCTGAGGTTCATGCTTTCAAACTAAATCTATGTTCCCTGAGTCAGTAACAATGAGGTATAATTTTATGAACACATAAAGCTTAAACATAAGAAGTGTTTCATAATTGACCCCAAAGTATGTTTTAAACCAGGCAGAGTGAAGCTAGCATGTCTCTAAAGGAGAAAACATGTCATTGGCTCATTGCCTAGATGCACAAGTGTGCACTATGCAACAAGCCTTCTCCAAGAATGCTGATTTGGGCATTGTGCCCTATATGAACTAATGGAAATTTTGGAATCTACATACTGTTTCTGATAGTCACAATGCTTAAAACAAAAGCAGTAGGAAATCATGTTCTCAGGGCCACTAAGTAAAGAAGAAATCTAGAAGTAATAAACGTTAAAAGAATGCAGAAAGCACGAGAAGAGAAGGGAGACTGACTTGGCTCACAAAGTGAGTTTTCATCTATACGATCTAATTTTGCCAAAACAACTTTCATATTGCTCATGACATTTTCCCTTAATACCACAAATGATAATGGATCCTTATATTTACCTGCATATTTATTTGAAGTCAAATCCACAACCAATTGATCATCATCACCGGTGATAAAAGATAAGCTCTCGCTTTTACTAATGTTCTCAATATGAGGAAAGTGATGTCTGATGGCATAGTCTGCCAAAGCACGAACAATACCAAGGTCTTCTTCTCCCCTAGAAGAATGTATTTGGAATGAACCAAAACGCAGAAAGGACTGCACAACTCTGCAAACAATTGCACCAGGCTCTTCCTTTGGATTGCCACTGCAGTAGAAGATGTAAACAATTATAACGAAGAACACACCCCTCATATACATCGTATGTAGATATTGCCTAGTTAGCCCATGGTTATCTTAAATTAAAAACCCAGTGAACATACTCATAAAACATGTCTCGAGTAACAAGTTTTCCAGTGGTCACAAGGCAAAGAGCACGAGTAGTTGGGATTCCTAGAAAATGCATTGCTTCACTGCAAAGAAATTCACGGATGCTACTTCGCAAAACTGCAAGCCCGTCTGCAGATCGACTGTATGGAGTCTTCCCAGCTCCTTTAAGCTGCAATTCCCACCTTTCTAGCCTAGAATTTAGAATCTCCCCAAGAGTAATAGCACGGCCATCACCCAGTTGGCCAGCCCATGTGCCAAACTGATGTCCTCCGTAACATTGAGCATATGGCACCCTGTCAGAGGGAAGATCAATGAAGACCCAAGGGATAATAAATGATAAAGAAACTGACGTCTGATAGTAATTTGTAGAAAGAGTTCGAGACAAATGCTTACGCTCCTGCCAAAGGGGAAGCCCCGGAAAATATAATGGGAAAATCTGGTCTTTCAAATCTGCGACTCCGACAAAGAGCTGTAAGGTCAATCACTTGCACAACACAATGCAACAACAATGATACAAGGGGATACAGAAAACGGAAGTAAGTAACAATCAAAGCCAAGGCATGAAAGACACAATTCTGAAGATTGTGGACAATGAATTAATGTATAATCATATAAACATTTTTTTAATAATATAGTATATTTGGTATAACAAGGCAAAGTTGATAAGTAAATAATATTTTTTTCCTATTTTGGTGCATGCATAACAAAATTCCCTCATCTTATTTTTCATAATCCAATGATATAGTATATTTGACAAAAAAAATTATATAATCACATCTAACAGTTTTGATTATAATCAAGTACTATACCTATAGAAAGTCTAATACAGATTACTCCGCTATCCATCACCCTTCATTCGCTAGTATTTTCTGAAGGACAAGTCCAGTGTAAGGCAATACTTACTCCTTATGGTCCAAATCAAGCAAGTCAGCCACTGAATCTGACCAAACAACAAGCTCCGGATTCTCTACTTCAGCTGAGGGAAAAACCTTTGTATAACATGCATGTAAAACCTGCAAAATCATCGGAAAACCTTTTTAAAAACTGTATATTCCAAATTATACAAATCAAAGATACATTTTAGTTCCTCGATCTTCAAACCGCATAAATATCATTTCTTATATGTTAAAAGTTCTAAAAATGAAATCTAATCTAATAGTATAGCTTAAATTCCATTTTTAGAACATGAAAATGCAAAAACGAACGAATAAAACTAGAACATGAAAAAGAATTTTGAAACGGAAGAAATTAAACCTGACGAGGAATAGAGTCGCTTTGAGCGTCCCCAGGGAGTTCTCTGACGAATGAATGATCCCAATTGAGATCTTCAAGGCTCAATTTAACGTTTTTATTTTTATTTTCTTTGTTTATGTGATCGTCACCTTGTTCTCTGAAGCTTTGATTTTTCAAACTGTCGGCAACGGAATCGAGGGAGAGGGAGGAGGGAGGGTCGGGTGAGAACGAGTCCATACGAAGGCTGCCACTGGTCTAAACGCGGCGTGCAGGGGAGAAACGATTTTCGAGGAGAAGAATGGGTGAGAAATAAGAGCGGAGGCAGAAGCAAGGCAAAGAGAACGAAAGGGGAAGCATAAACCGAGTCGATCAGTTTTTGGGACATTTCTGAATTTATATCATCTTTTTTTCAACATTTTCAAAAAGAAATATTATTATTCTTCATTTTTTTATATTTTTTTATAATTGTTTATTTTTTCTATTTTATGTATTTGTTTTGTCTTAACTTTTAGAGTAAACTATCAATTTAATTTAGTACTTAAATTTTTAGTTTTTTTCAAAATAATATTTATTGTTTAAGCTTTGTTTTGTTTTAATGCTCACAATTAAAAATTTAACATGTTTAGTACTTAAACTATTAGTTTTGGTCCGTTTTAGTACCTAAATTTTTATTTTCCCCCTAAAAAATTAACGTTCAATATTGAACGAGAGTACTGAAATGAATCAAAAACTAAAGTTTTTGTATGATTTTAAAAAAATTAAAAATTTAGTATTAAAACAAACTAAAAATGATAATTTAAATACTAAACAAGTAATTTATCATACTTTTAAGACTTATTAAAAGTAAATATTTAATTTATATATTTTTGTTCATTTTAAATGAATTTGATGTTCAATATTTTTTACATTATTATTTTATGGTCCCATCCATCCGACTATTATAAAATTATCAAACACTCAAAATGTGATATATTTTATTTTTATATTTTAAAAAATATATATATTTTAAAAACATTTAAAACTATTATTATAAAAAACTATTTTTTATAAAATGTAAAAAGATCTTAATAATAAAATTCTTAAAACCTTAAAATATCTTTTAAAATTGTCATCTTAAAATTTATTTTTGTCATTGTCATCTACAATCACCCATTTACCTGTGGATTATCATCCACTCTTTGATGAAGTCCCCCTTCTTAGAATCAATGTAATGTTTTGTGCGATCAATGAAGGGTGATTGCACATAAGATTTAAAACTAATATTATAGCTGTAAAATCACCTATAGGCAATGACGAACTCAAATTTCATGCAATGATTAATCAAAATTTCTACCAGAAGGAGATATGAGATGACTGCATCACGATTTATAAATAATATTATCGACACTTAAAATCGTAATTTGATTAAAATTTAAAATTTAAAATTTAAAATTTCGGTATCATAATTTAAAGATTTAAGGATTTGAACGACGATAAAAGGAGGACTGACGTTAAAGATGACAGGTGAACATACGTTCGATGGAAATGACAATAACATTGGATAATTGACGATAAAATTGATATTTTGAGAGTAAGGTTTTTCAGTTTTTTATTTTATTTTAAATTTTAAGTTTTTTTACCAATAATATTTTCAATTTTTTAAAATAAAATTTTTAAAAATTTATAAATACATCATATTTTAAGGGTAAATTACATGTTTAATAACTAAACTAACATTTTTTGTTCGTTTTAATACATAAACTTTCAATTTTTTCAAAACCATACCTAAATTTAGTTTTTGTTTCATTTTAGTATTATGTTCAAAATTTAATGTTAAGTTTTGAAAAGATTGAAAGTTTAGGTATTAAAACAGACCAAAACTGATAGTTTAGGTACTAAACACGTTAAGTTTTTAATGATCGGGTGCTAAAAAGAAAGGAAAACTAAATGTTAGGTATAGTTTTGAAAAAAAATGAATGTTTAGGTACTAAAACTTATCAAAACTGAAAGTTTAGGTACTGATAGCGTAGTTTGTCCTATTTTGAATGATTGAAAATTTTTGGTAAATTACAAGTTTAGTACCTAAACTTTCAATTTTTTCAAAACCATACCTAAAGTTTAGTTTTTGTTTTATTATATACATTGTTCAAAATTTAACGTTAAGTTTTGAAAATTTTGAAAATTTAGGTACTAAAACTAATCAATACTAATAGTTTAGATACTAAATGCATCAATTTTTTTATGGTGGGTACTAAAATGAAAAAAAACTAAATGATAGGTATGGTTTTGAAAATATTAAAAGTTTAAGTATTAAAATGGACCAAACTGAGAGTTTAGGTACTAAATGTGTAGTTTACCCTAATGTTTTTAATAATTATGATAAATTAAACAATTAAAATGATATTGTCAATAATAAAAACACTCCCACGATCCCAATCAAGTATATTCTTGTTTTTTCAATTGAAAGGAGCCTAAGACATTAGGCTAACATTGCATATCAGTGGCTTGGTGAAGGGGTTGGGCATCAGCAGAAAACAAGTCTATAATTTCCACTGGGGGAGAAGCAGAATGGAGCAGTCTGAAGTGCTGAGAAGGGGTAAAGTTAGCCAGTCTATCAGCAACTTTATTTCTAGTTCGTGGCATCCATTAGAATTGAATCTCCTATGTGCGATGGCTTAAGTTAGCAATTGCTCTGACAAGTGAGAGGTGACTGTGTCCAGGGTTGGTAGCAGAGAGCTTCTTGATAGCTTATGCGTGGTCGGATTGAACAATGATTCTGGTTTCTGGAAAAGACTACTGCTAACAAGGAGTCCTTCATATATACCCCAAAATTGGGCTTGAAGGACGGAGCTTATCCCGATATTTTGCAGAAGCCAACAAGCCATGTGCCATCAAAATCTCAGAGGATTCCTCCAATCGAGCTGTTTCCTTAGCTATCGAGGTTGCACCATCAGTTTTCGGACTTGACCAACCTATGGGGGGTTTGACCCACTTGGGTCGAACAATTTGATTCTCCTGATGCCTGTAAGAGATAGAACCAGGATAGTCATACCAAGTATCCCAGTTGCTACTGTTGGTCAAAGAAAATGGCAGCAGCCGGCTACTTGAAAAATGGGGGGTGCCTAATTTTTTTATTAAATTATAATAGGGTTAATTATACATTTAGCCATTACACACTTTAGGATATTTACAAGATTAGTCCTCAAGCTTTAGCTATAAATACCCTAGCTCATTTAGCTTCTAAATCATCCCAAAATCTTCTAGTTCTCTCTCAAATGTGTTTTGTAAATACCTGTAAATATTATCTTTAGTAAAAGATCTGAAGCAGTCCGGAGACGTAGGCAAAATTGGCTGAACTCCATTATCAATTTCGGGTATTATTTTTCCGCTTTTATTTCGCATTCTCACTAATCTGGTTATAGGGAAATTACCGTTCTCGTTTATTTCCCAACATCTGGTAATCAGAGCTTTTGGTTGTGAATTTTGCAATTTTTTGCGAGGTTACTATTCATTACTATTTATATAAATAGTGAATTTTGTGAATAGTAAAATTTTGTCGGTGATACGAATTTGTCGACGGAGGTGTTTTAATACACGGTGGTTCGCAAGAATTGTCAGAAACGATTCAAACGAAGCCAGATTCGAGTAGGAGCAATGGCTGCAGACGAAGGGAATGTGAAAATTGAAAAGTTCGATGGTGCGGACTTTGGCTTTTGGAATATGCAGATTGAAGATTTTCTGTACCAGAAAATCTATATCAAACTCTCTCAAGAAAGCAACCAGAGGGCATGAAGAATGAAGACTGGGCTATTCTCGATAGACAAGCCCTCGGAGTTATCCGACTAACGTTATCTCGCAATGTTGCTTTCAACATAGCAAAGGAAAAGACCACGGCGGGTCTTATGGCGGCTCTCTCCAGTATGTACGAGAAGCCATCGGCCTCAAACAAAGTTCATTTGATGAGGCGATTATTCAATTTGCAGATGGCGGAAGGGGCATCGGTGGCTCAACACCTAAATGAACTCAACACAATCACAACTCAGTTGAGTTCAGTAGAAATTGAATTCGATGATTAAGTTTGAGCTTTAATTCTCTTATCATCTCTACTAGACAGTTGGAATGCAACTGTTACAGCAGTCAGCAGCTCGTCGAGAAACAACAAATTAAAATTCGATGATGTACTAGATCTGGTATTGAGTGAAGAAATTCGACGGAGAGAATCAGGTGAAGCATCAACCTCCTCGGCCTTGCACACGAAGTTTAGAGGGAGAACTTCAGAAAGAAATTCAAATCGTGGCAGATCCAAATCCAGAAGGGGAAAATCAAGAACGGGAAAGAAAGATTTTACCTGTTATAATTGCGGCAAGAAGGGTCATTTTAAAAGAGATTGCCGAGCACCAAAGAAAAATACCGACGTACAGGAATCTGCAAACGTGACAGAGGAGACAGGTGATGCCATGATTCTAAGCGTTAACAGTCCGATTGAATCATGGATCTTGGATTCAGGGGCATCTTTCCACTCCACCCCATGCCGAGAAATCATGGAGAACTATGTCAATGGTGATTTTGGGAAGGTTCATCTAACTGATGATGAAACCTTGAAGATCGTCGGAAAAGGAGACATCCGATTAAAGTTGCCAAACCAGACCACCTGGACGCTGAAAGGAGTGAGACATATTTCTAGCCTCAAAAGAAATTTGATTTCTGTAGGACAACTTGATGGAGAAGGATATAGCACAACCTTTTCAGGTTGTGAATGGAAGATTACCAAAGGAGCACTCATCATTGCTCGTGGTAAGAATACTGGTACTCTCTATGTAACCACAAATTTAGAGAATATCATTACAGCCGCATATGCTAATGGAAAATCAAACCTATGGCACCAAAGGCTTGGCCATATGAGCGAGAAAGGGATGAAGAAGCTTTTGTCAAAAGGGAAGCTTCCAGATCTAAAGAATGTAGATGTCGGACTATGTGAGGATTGTATTTTTGGCAAACAAAAGAAAGTCAGCTTTGCAAAGATTGATAAGACACCCAAGGCAGAAAAGTTAGAGTTGGTTCATACTGATGTATGGGGACCATCTCCAGTTTCATCCCTTGCAGGCTCACTATATTATGTCACCTTCATCGATGATTCGACAAGGAAGGTGTGGGTTTATTTTCTGAAGAAGAAATCAGAAGTCTTTGATACCTTCAGAAAATGGAAGGCCATGGTGGAAAATGAGACTGGTCTGAAAGTCAAGCGGTTGAGGTCTGACAATGGAGGAGAGTACAGAAATCGTAGATTCAGAGATTTCTGCGCAAACAATGGGATCAAGATGGAGACAATAGTTCCCATGACATCGCAACAGAATGGCGTAGCAGAGCGCATAAACAGAACTCTGAATGAACGTGGCATAAGCATGAGGATACATGCCGGATTACCCAAATTTCTATAGGCTGAAGCTATCAACACTATAGCTTACCTGATCAACTGTGGGCCCTCAGTTCCTTTGGATGGCAAAATACCAGAGGAAGTTTGGAGCAAGAAAGAAATAAACCTTTCACACTTAAGAGTGTTTGGTTGTATTTATTATGTACGCATAGATTCTGCTGAAAGAAGTAAACTTGATGCCAAGTCCAACAAATGTGTCTTTGTTGGTTATGGTGGTGATGAGTTCGGTTACCGATTTTGGGACTATGAAAATCGGAAGATCATCAGAAGCATAGATGTTATTTTCAATGAGAATGTGATGTACAAAGACAGGGCAACCATAGAATCAAGTAGCTCTAATACCGAAGTTGAAACAAAGGAATTTGATGAGTTCGAGGAGATTTTTGGAAATGATGTTTAAATCAGTCCTGAAGTAGTTTAAGAAGAACCAGGCACACCAGAACTGAGACGTTCCTCCAGAATTCCTAAACCATCCCAGCGTTATTCGCCTTCTTTTCACTACTTGTTGCTGACTGACAATGCTGAACCAGAGTACTATGATGAAGCAATGCAAGTGGAGGATTCAGTCAAGTGGGAGTCTTCCATAAAAGATGAGATATACTCGCTTATGTCAAATCAGGTGTGGGAATTAGCTGAATTACCACCAGACAAGAAAGCACTCCATAACAAGTGGATTTACAGTATCAAAAAAGAGCACGATAGGAGCAAACGCTACAAAGCGAAATTGGTTGTCAAAGGTTTTCAGCAAAAAGAAGGTATTGACTACAATGAAATTTTCTCTCCATTCGTGAAACTGTCTACAATCAGACTGGTACTGAAAATTATAGTTGCAAAGAATTTACATCTTGAGCAGTTAGATGTAAAGACAGCTTTCCTTCATGGTGATTTGAAGGAAGAAATCTATATGAGGCAACCAGAAGGCTTCATAGAGGTAGGCAAGAAAAACCTGGTATGCAGGTTGAAGAAGAGTTTGTATGGTTTAAAACAAGCTCTAGACAGTGGTACAAGAAGTTTGATAGTTTCATGAGTAGCAGTGGTTTTACCATATGCCAAGCAGATCATTTTTGCTACATCAAGAGGTTTGATAACAACTTCATTATTTTTATTGTTGTATGTTGATGACATGCTCGTTGCAGGCTCAGACATGCAAGAGATTATAAACTTGAAGCAAAAATTGTCGAAGCAGTTTGCTATGAAAGATCTAGGTGCTGAAAAGCAGTTCTTGGGATGAGGATCAAGAGAGATACAAAGTCGAGGACTTTGATATTATCATAGGCTGAGTACATTAACAAAGTACTCTCCAGGTTCAACATGCAAGATGCTAAACTAGTAAGTACACCTTTAGGTGTTCATTTTAGACTCTCCGAAGAACATTCACCAAAGACGGAGGAAGAACGTGCACACATGGTGAAGGTGTCGTATGCCTCAGCAATTAGAAGTCTGATGTATGCCATGGTTTGTACTAGACCAGATATTGCTCACAGTGGGAGCTGTTATCAGGTATATGAATAATCCGGGCAAGGTACACTGGGAAGCAATCAAATGGATCCTCAGATATCTGCGGGGTACCACAAGCAAAACACTTTGTTTCAAAGGTGGAGATACGATACTGACAGGCTATGTAGATGCTGACTTAGCCAAAAATGTTGACATTAGAAGAAGCACTACAGGGTATATCTATACTCTAGGAGGAACCGCAGTGAGTTGGGTTTCTCAACTACAGAAGATAGTTGCTCTCTCCACAACTGAAGCAGAATATGTCGTTGTTATAGAAGCCAGCAAGGAGATGGTTTGACTCCAAAGTTTATTGGAAGAGTTAGGCAAGAAACAAGAAAACAATGTCTTATATTGCGATAGTCAAAGTGTTATCCATCTAGCAAAGAATCTGTCTTTTCATTCCAGGACGAAGCACATACAATTGCGATATCATTTTATCCGGTTTCTTCTTGAAGATGGGATTTTGAAACTTGAAAAGATCAGTGGAGCTCAAAATCTGGTAGACATGTTAACAAAGACGGTGACTACGGACAAACTGAAGTTGTGTTCAGTTTCAGTTAGCATGCTAGAATAAAAGACCAGAAATACTGTTGCATTGATTGAGGTGTGAAGATAGATTGAAATGAGTCTTCAAGTGGGAGATTGTTGGTCAAAGAAAATGGCAGCAGTCGACTGCTTGAAAAATGGGGGGGCTGCCCAATTTTTTAATTAAATTGTAATAGGGTTAATTACACATTTAGCTACTGCACACTTTAGGGTATTTACAAGATTAGTCCTCAAGCTTCATCTATAAATACCCTAGCTCATTTAGCTTCTAAATCATCCCAAAATCTTCTAGTTCTCTCTCAAGTGTGTTTTGTAAACACCTGTAAATTTTATCTTTAGTAAAATATCTGCAGTAGTCTGGAGATGTAGGCAAAATTGGCTGAACTCCGTTATCAATTTCGGGTATTATTTTTCCGCTTTTATTTCGCATTCTCACTAATCTGGTTATAGGGAAATTACTCGTTCTCATTTATTTCCAACAGTTACTGCATTTTATGGTTCTCTATGAGAATGCATGATGTTGTTGAAGACGAGATCATTACGTTGTTTCCGAGTTTGCCATATGGTGGAAGCAAAGAGAAAAGACCACGATGGGTCACCCGTCACTATTCACAAGAGGCTGAAGTAGTTTTAGGTTACTTAGAATCCACGATCGAAGATCACTAAAGAAGAAGTCAGGCCTCATTGGAGGAGCATCATTCAATTCTATAAGCTCCAAGCCCGAGAGCATTCCCTAAGAACATGAAGGACTATTTCAAGAGAAGTACCACAGTACGGACAAGCAGGGTTGTCCGTCGGCATGCGTTCACTCTGCTCGCAGTTGGTCATAAGCTTATCCTTAGTATCGATGTTGTAAGGAGGTTTGACATTTACAATATGTTGAATAACATCGAGATGGACAAGGAGGCAAAGAGCATAAGTATCCCACTGGCCTCTAAGTGGCATTCCGTTAGGAGAAAGAGCAGAAGTTAAAAACATCAGCTTCATTTACCATGGGTGAACCATCCCCTGCATTGCATCCGTCTATGCAAAAACCATCTTCATCAGCCTCTATGTGGCCTTCCATCAGGAGAAAAGGGCAAGAAGTCAAAATCTGTGAGTTAATTCATTGAAGATACATGAGAAGATTTAATGAATGGGATATTCATATTCTATTTCAACATTTACTGATATATGTTCGTTTTGCTGTATTCCAAATGAAGTTGATGCAACACCCTTCTAGAGGCCTTCCTGGAAGGCCCCAGGTTCCTAACTGTACTTCTTCAGGGGCATTTGCATCAAATGAACCTGCTGAAGCATCACCATATGATCCATTAATTGGAAGGAAAGTTTGGACAAGGTGTCCTGAAGACAACCATTTCTATGAGGCCGTTATAACAGACTATAACCGAATTGAGGTATATTCTTCAGTTGATTATACAATAAGCTGTTAATTATTGGAGCTTTAATACTATGTTTCCCATATTATAGGGGCGACATGCTTTGGTTTATGATATAAAAATTAGCTGATGAACCTGCGAATGGGTCAATCTCAAAAGAGGTAAAATTGTTGAATTTTACTGCTATTTCATACATGATATTTTTACTTTATACGGCTTGATTTACCTTCCATTGGTATATTTTATACAATTTTTAACAAAATCAACTTTTATGCCATTCATAATACATTGCAGAATTCATGTGCATGGTCTATCCCTTATCTTGAACCATATTTTCCCCTAGATAGGGATTGCATCTCATAGGTTACGGTTCCATGCACAACCATTGATTAATATGATTATCATGAATTTTCAAGCAGTTTATGCCTGACAATAATTAAATTTAAGAGGTTCCCTATTTACTCTGATATGTCTAATATGATAAGAATAATGTGATTGAGTAATAGATTTCCAAATTGTTGATCGATATATAAACTAAATTCAAGTTTTGTGTCTATATATCTTGACAATTTTGGCCCACTACGAACATTCTCTTTCAAACATGCAAGGGTTATGCATCAATGATAGGGTTATGCTTTTTCTTTCAAACATGTAAGTTTTTGGTGCAAGTCATCCTGATTTCATAGAAATTGAGAAAGCAAAGGAAGCGCTGAAAGTAAGTATTGTCTTCTAATGTTGTTGCATTGGTTTATATAGCTATCGAAGCAGCAATCATTGTGGATATTTCTCGTTGCAGGAGCACGAACAAGCTCTAGTTGATGCAATTGCGAGGCTTGAAGGTGCATCTGACGGTGAAAGTGGTAATAGCTAATTACATATAATTATGTCATAGATTGATAGTTAAAATATGGATGCATAATCTTTTATTGTGTAATATAATTTTAGCTTTTGGATGTGCAACTTACTGTCACAAAGGTATACAAGTTTCCTATAATTAAATGTTGTCCACTTGTCCTCGCCATTCCCCTTCTCATAAGAAAGAAAGCAAGGGTTCCAATTAATGTGTATAGCATAGCTTGTGGTATGCGCCCGTTTCACTATTTAACTTGTTGAGTAACTGCTGTTCGTGTGACATCAACTCTAGCAAGATGAATCTATAGTTCCAAAAATAAAAGGAAACTCGTAACATATGGAAATGCCTTCAACTCCAAAAGAGTTATATTTATTCTATATTTATATTCATTTGATTGGATTCAAAGCAGATGAAGAGCATCCTTTCTCACAAGGGCAGTCAATGGATCAAGAAAGAGCGTGGACAAATAGGTCGTACAATGATGAGATGGGTAAAGGTAGCGTCTGATGGCGCAATAAAATGATGGGAGGTATCCATAATTTGTGTAGCATATTTAACCAGCTTAGTATGTACATCAGCTGTAGTTGCAGATATAACTGAACAAAATGCGTTTCGTAATATTGTTGTAATCTTTGATGTAAACAGCCATTTCTTTGGTTCCTAGTCCTCTTTAGTTAGCAGGCTATTGTAACTTTAATCTAACTGTAGATTAGGAAAATGTTCTGTATAAAGTTTTAAAATATTACTTGTGAATCTCCTTGGCTGTGTGAAAATTTTAATTCATTTTGTTTGCAGCCAAGTTCACTGGAAACCAGAGGTTTAAGTTCCGGTAAATTACACAAAATAATACATATTTATAATCAGCATCGTTTTCTACAGAACAATTAGAGTTTAAACAAATTTCATAGAAATTCATCAAACACTGGTGTGGTGTTTAAAGAACAGGCTGCTTGTCCCCCAATGAGTCGATGAATTTGAGGATAAGTTCAAGCATGACAGCATCATAAGCAGGGCCTTCCATTTCAAAGTGGCTAACTCCTATCAGATGTGTTTCATTGTGTCCTGAAGCAGACTTGAGCTTGTTCTCAAGCTGTTTGACGCTCATGAATCCGTCCCGAGTTCCCATGACGAAGAGTTTGGGTTTCAAGGATTGCAGGATGGCTTTGTGGTGTCTTCCAAAAAGGATTGAGGCCATCATCCCAAAAGGGTATCCCAGACTTACATAGCCCACAACTTACTCTACTTGATCCACTGCAGACCCTGCTATTGGCGCCCCTACCAAAGGCATTGACAAAACAAATAATGAATGATGCAGGCAAGTCACAAGGCGGCTCAGGCAAACAGTGTTATTTGCATTGCCTTAGGCTGAGCCCCCAAAAAAAACTTGGGCATCCACCCCCGCTCTTCCCAACACAAAATGCAAAAAGAAAACTTATGAATCTAATTTTAATGTTTCTATTCATATTTGCAAATATCCGAGGGACAAAACCTTTGATCATTGTTATTATGTCTACCCTTAATGCTCCAACTTTTAATATTTTACACAAATCCGACATTCATGTTCGACACATAGGTATGACTCGATATGAGAATTGTATCTCATATATGATGAAACTTAGAAAAATTTAACCATACTCGTGTCTAATATATAATTGTAATACTACCCATCGTCCATGATTCAAAGTTTTACATTACATGTTTGTGTTGCTGAAGACGACTATCGGATAGAGCAAAATCGTAACTGATAATTTGAGAAAATAAAAATGAAGATAAAGAAGACACAAAATTTACGTGGAAAACCCCTAAATAATATAGGGTAAAAACCACGGGCAACGGTAGAAGAATTTCACTATGAGAAAATAGGAATTACAAACTCTCTCGGTCTACCAAGGAGAAAACAATAATAATTCTCTCTTGATAAAAAATAGAAAACAACTCTCAAGAAACTCTCTAAATTTTCTCTGGTATTGGAAGAAAGCTAGAATGATTTGGGATGGTTTTGAAGCTAAATGGGTTAGGGTATTTATAGTTGAAGCTTAAGGACTAATCTTGTAAATACCCTAAAATTTTAGTGACTAAAGTTTGTAATTTGCCCATTTAGTTTTCAACCATTGTTGCACCTAATTTTGACATTTTATATTTGGTGCCTACCATTGTTGAAAATTTCATTTTTTTTCAACCTTGCTAAATGCACTTTCGGTGCATGCTTTCAACAATCTCCCACTTGAAGATTTGATTGGAATAATCATAACTTCACACCATTCTTTCTACCTTGTACCATCATGTTGCTTATGTCTCTGACAGTCCACAAGAGGATCGACACCAGGTAAATTTATCAGCATTGATTGCCTTCGTCATGAAATATGCTATGTTGTCTTTGGTATGGATCTTATGCATATCTACCGTCCCTTCTTCCACCTTTTCACAAATAAAATGGTACTGAACTCGTATGTGTTTTGTCCTTGAATGAAATGTTGGATTCCTTGCTAGATGCAAGGCACTTTGACTGTCACAAAACATAGAGACATACTCTTGGTTGTGCCCAAGCTCCTCCAATAGCATCTTCAACCAAATTGCTTCTTTACTGGCTTGTGTAGCTGCTACATAATCTGCCTCTGTTGTGGATGTAGCCACAACTGACTGTAATTTTGAAACCCATCTTACAGCTCCACCAGTAATTTTGAACACATATCCTGTAGTAGATTTGCTTTTATCCAAATCCCCTGCATAGTCAGAATCGACATACCATTTATAAGTAAGTTTGATCCTCCGTAATATAATGTAACATTTGAGGTCCCTTTGATGTATCTCAGGATCCTCTTTACTGTATTCCAATGCTCTTTGCCTGGATTTGCCATGTACCGACTAACCACTCCCACTGCTTGTGCAATGTCTGGTCTTGTGCATATCATAGCGAACATTAAACTTCCCACTGCTGATGCATACGACACTCGAGACATCTCCATCCTCTCTTCTTCATTGCTAGGACTCATACTGGAGGATAATTTGAAGTTAATAGGAATAGGGGTAGAAATTGGCTTACAATCTTGCATGCTGAATCGTGACAAGATCTTCTTCAAGTAATTCTTTTGTGAAAGCCAAATCTTCCTATTATTTCTGTCTCGGTGAATTTGCATCCCTAGAATCTTGTTTGCTGATCCCAAGTCCTTCATTTCAAATTCCCTAACCAGTTGTGCCTTCAATTCTTCAATATGATCTTTGTTGGGTCCTGCAACCAACATGTCATCCACATACAACAGCAATATAACAAAATCGTTATTACCAGACCTCTTGAAATAAGCACAAGGGTCTGCATTAAGTCTGTTGTATCCAAGGCACATAATGAAGGAATCAAATCTCTTATACCAATACCTCGACGCCTGCTTTAGACCGTACAAAGATTTGTTCAACCTGCAAACCAAGTTCTTCTTTTCTTCTTCTTCAAAATCTTCAGGCTGAAACATGTAAATCTCTTCTTCAAGATTTCCATGAAGAAAAGTTGTTTTAACATCTAGCTGCTCTAGATGTAAATTCAATGTAGCACACATTGCCAAGACTACTCGAACTGTTGTTAGTCGAACCACATGAGAAAAAATTTCATTAAAATCAATATCTTCTTTTTGAGCATATCCTTTGACCACCAGTCTTGCACGATACCTCTCCACTTGATCGTCACCATTTCGCTTGATTTTAAAGACCCATTTGTTACCAATTGGCTTCCTTCCTTGTGGTAGTGGCACAAGGTCCCATGTATTATTTTTATGAAGGGATTCAATTTCCTCTTGCATCGCCATCATCCACAATGAAGCATCTGAGTTGTTTATTGCCTCCTGGAATGTTGATGGCTCACCGTCCTCTGTTAAAAGGCAGTATGCAATATTACCTTCTATAACATAATCTGAGTACCAATTGGGACGTCTTCTCACACGATCTGATTGACGAGTTGTTGGAGCATCAGAACTCTCTGGTTCTTGTTCATCATGTGCTAGTTGTGCTTCAGAAGAATCTCCTTGTTCAAACTCTTTTTCCACATGTATCTGTGTAGTCTCTGACTTTTCAGCGCTATCATCATCTTCTTTTATTTGTAATCTTCTACAAAGATAACATGTAACATCCTCCATACCGGGTTAGTGATCAAATTGTGAAATTTTATAATTTAGCGATCAAAGTTGATAAATTGAAAGTTAAGGGAATTGATTGAAATATTTGGTGTAGGATCAATTAACAAAGCATGGGGAACTAAAGGGGCAAATGAGTCTTTTGACAAGGAAATAATTAAATGTTTCTTAAGGATATTTAATAAACCACGTGGAAAGCTAATGAGAGAAACAAGGTTCTTGATATTTCTTTTTCTTCCTTCTCCTTCTCTGCCGTGAAGCCAAACTAAAGGTGAGTTTTCTTGTTGATTAAATTCTTGATGAATTTAAGGTTTCTTATTGATCATTAGTTGATAACTAAGCTTAAGGAAAGCTTAGATTATCTTAAAACCATAAGATGAGGAGAATATGAAGAATTAAAGAAAGGAAGTAGAAAAGTAAAATCTTGGATTAGAGTTCCTAATAAGAATTAGAAGTGGAATTTGACTTGTCATAAAGTTGACTAAGAAGTATGAGGTGTTAGAATTCAAATTAGAACATGTTGGAATTTGGGTTAGATTCTTAAATTCTACATGGAGAATTGGATTTTTAAGTTTCAAAAGTATGAATGGATAATAATTAGTTTAAGTAAGAGTATGCAAGTTAAGGATATATAAAGAGGGGAAATATAAAGTGTTAAGTAGACTAAGAGAGATTTTCGTGCTAAAATGACAATTCTGGGCAATGTGCATCGATGCACATTCATTGTGCACCGATGCATCGATGATAAATTCCAGAAATTGTTTAAGGTGCATCGATGCACATGCAGTGCATCGATGCATTAATTTAAAAAGCAAACATCGAATAGGATTTATGCATCGATGCATAAGGAGTGCATCGATGCATCCCCATTAAATACAAACATCGAATATGTAACACCCCCAACCCGTATCCGATCCTGATACGAGTCCGAAGTGTCACATTGACTTTTCAAACATTTATTCGTATAAAATAGTGAGTAATTTAAAAACTTTGATAACATTTAACTTCTTTAAAACGTTTACAAAATATATATCAGAGTTCATACAATTTATGTCTTTAGACTACATGCCAACTACACTCTATATACAGTACCTATATTTTCTGATCTGACATTTGGTAAGGAAACTGACCTGTCTTGCTCCGCATTACTCTTTACTCTTCCCGAAACCTACGTGTGAAACAATCACACGCTAAGTCGAAGACTTAGTGAGGCATAACAACTTATAATGCACTTTATAACATATATCAATACATGCATGTTCTGTTCTATCATGTTATATCAATTCCATGCATTCTTCGTATCATATAAAATCATATCAGATCAATTGCAGTAAATCCATACATACACATAATTCATCATTAACAGTTTATCATGTAATCACATACTTTTATGGTTAACCTTTTCAATCAAACACTATACACACACAACATCATATCATTTCTATAACATTTATCATACCACTAACATATATTTGTTCATATTTCTGGATTAGCCCATGTACATATGTGAGAACTATCGATATGTGAGTCTATAGAGGTTGTGCACTAATGCTGTCACCACAGCTCGTATAATTGCACCGAAGTGCCGCGTAGAATTACACCGTAGTGCCATATAAAAATGTCCATAAGGACCACATATTATTCCTTAAGAATCATATACATATACTAGGGATCAA